CAAGTGTTCCACTATGTTCGCAAGAAGAAGAAGACAAGCAAAAGAGCATGAGTCAGGATAAGTATAAAATATCAATTTTACTCTAAAAATTACATTTTAGTTGTTTTGTTTTCACGTGTAGCGTCCGAACAATTCAATAAAAAGCCAAGGTGTTCGGATAAACGAGGTCTGACTGTATTGCATTGTCTCAGGGTATGAAACTTCCAAAAATTTCAGCCAGATTACAGCTGGTTAGATGTAAAGCTTGCCAGCCCTGACCAAAACTTACCTGCATGCCCACAAAATATCTTCATATACATGTCTAAATTTTAACCCGACCGTCAGGCAGGTGAATTTGAGAATCTGGCGGTCCGTGTTGAAAATAACCTGTCCCGGGTGGTCAGGTAGGCAGGTATTTCGAAAGCTGATTGTCTTAGATATATTTTAAACATACATTGTAAATATTTTAGATTTACATACTAGTTTGATATTATACCTGTGATATTCTAGTTGTTTTTACAGTCCCTCATTAACAGGGTTTTTATAATTTACATGTATTTATGGTGCATTTGGAACTTGTTTGAATCACGATATGGCTGAAATATTGCCGATGTGACAAAATTTTAACTCTCACACACTTTTCAGCAAACTATTTCATGCACTCCGTTCACTGACTCATCTGTACTTAAGAAGCACAATGTTTTAACTGTAAACAATCAGCATACGTTACCTGGATTAGCTTCAATATTGCACAGCAGCATCTGTAACAGGAGATGCTAACATTATAGATGTACTTCTTATAACATTTCTACAAGTTTCGAGAAGATATTTCGTAAGATTTTCACATTTGGTATTTAGGCCGTAGCTTTATGGTATTATAATCACTTCAAGTAGGTGGGCAAATGTCTCTCTTTATGGACATAGAGGCTGAAGGGAGGATGTTGTTGAGATGGAGGGACTATTGTTCCCAGAAATGGCAGGCTCATTCCAGTGTTGCCATCTATGGAACGACTGCAGCCATGTGTTAATGTTTACTATGACATTAGGTGCAACTTCTGGGGAGGTCTTTACAAGAAATAATATCATGTTGTTTGATAGGCATTTCATAAAAGTTGATGCCGATGACAAAGTTTAACATTTTGAAACACTTTGAAAATATACATTGTTGCTCAAAAAGCAATGCATATTTATACCAACTTGCACATAAAGCATGTTAGTAAGGTTCATAGAACACAGATTTCAACTGGAAAACAATGATGAGCAACTGACAACACAGTAATTGAATATCTGTTACTGTTCATGTCATGAAATTTTATAAAAGTGTGGGTGAAACAACTATTGCGATAGCAATAGTCTATTGCAACACACTATTGTGATAGTGATAGTCTATTGCAACATGCTATTTTGATAGCGATAGTCTATTGCAACATACTATTGTGATAGTGATAGTCTATTGCAACATACTATTGTGATAGTGATAGTCTATTGCAACATACTATTGTGATAGTGATAGTCAATTGCAACATACTATTGTGATAGTGATAGTCTATTACAACATACTATTGTGATAGTGATAGTCTATTACAACATACTATTGTGATAGTGATAGTCTATTGCAACATACTATTGTGATAGTGATATATTGCAACTATTGTGATGGTGATAGTTCTATTACTTACTACATAGTGATACTATTGCAACTTACTGATAGTGATAGTCTATTGCAACATACTATTGTGATGATAGTGATAGTCTATTGCAACATACTATTGTGATAGTGATAGTCTATTGCAACATACTATTGTGATAGTGATAGTCTATTGCAACATACTATTGTGATAGTGATAGTCTATTGCAACATACTATTGTGATAGTGATAGTCTATTGCAACATACTATTGTGATATTGTGATAGCGATAGTCTATTGCAACATACTATTGTGATAGTGATAGTCTATTGCAACATACTATTGTGATGAGTGATAGTCTATTGCAACATACTATTGTGATAGCGATAGTCTATTGCAACATACTATTGTGATAGCGATAGTCTATTGCAACATACTATTGTGATAGTGATAGTCTATTGCAACAACTATTGTGATAGCGATAGTCAATTGCAATATACTATTGTGATAGTGATAGTCTATTACAACATACTATTGTGATAGCGATAGTTTATTGCAACATACTATTACGATAGTGATAGTCTATTGCAACAACTATTGTGATAGCGATAGTCTATTGCAATATACTATTGTGATAGTGATAGTCTATTACAACATACTATTGTGATAGCGATAGTTTATTGCAACATACTATTACGATAGTGATAGTCTATTGCAACATACTATTGTGATAGTGATAGTCTATTGCGACATACTATTGTGATAGTGATAGTCTATTGCAACATACTATTGTGATAGTGATAGTCTATTGCGACATACTATTGTGATAGCGATAGTCTATTGCAACATACTATTGTGATAGTGATAGTCAATTGCAACATACTATTGTGATAGTGATAGTCTATTGCACCATACTTTGCGATAGTGATAGTCTATTGCAACATACTATTGTGATAGTGATAGTCTATTGCAACATACTATTGTGATAGTGATAGTCTATTGCACCATACTTTGCGATAGTGATAGTCTATTGCAACATACTATTGTGATAGTGATAGTCTATTGCAACCATACTATTTGATATGATAGTGATAGTCTATTGCAACATACTATTGTGATAGTGATAGTCTATTGCACCATACTTTGCGATAGTGATAGTCTATTGCAACATACTATTGTGATAGTGATAGTCTATTGCACCATACTTTGCGATAGTGATAGTCTATTGCAACATACTATTGTGATAGTGATAGTCTATTGCACCATACTTTGCGATAGTGATAGTCTATTGCAACATACTATTGTGATGGTGATAGTCTATTGCACCATACTATTGCGATAGTGATAGTCTATTGCAACATACTATTGTGATAGTGATAGTCTATTGCAACATACTATTGCGATAGTGATAGTCTATTGCAACATACTATTGTGATAGTGATAGTCTATTGCAACATACTATTGCGATAGTGATAGTCTATTGCAACATACTATTGTGATAGTGATAGTCTATTGCAACATACTATTGTGATAGTGATAGTCTATTGCAACATACTATTGTGATAGTGATAGTCTATTGCACCATACTTTGCGATAGTGATAGTCTATTGCAACATACTATTGTGATAGTGATAGTCTATTGCAACATACTATTGCGATAGTGATGGTCTATTGCACCATACACCATTGTGATAGTGATAGTCTATTGCAACATACTATTGTGATAGTGATAGTCTATTGCAACATACTATTGTGATAGTGATAGTCTATTGCAACATACTATTGTGATAGTGATAGTCTATTGCAACATCTATTGCATAGTCCATAGTCTGTTGCACCATACTATTGCGATAGTGATAGTCTATTGCAACATACTATTGTGATAGTGATAGTCTATTGCACCATGCTATATTATAGTGATGCAACATACCATTTGTGATAGATCTATTGCAACATACTATTGTGATAGTGATAGTCTATTGCAACATACTATTGCGATAGTGATAGTCTATTGCAACATACTATTGTGATAGTGATAGTCTATTGCAACATACTATTGTGATAGTGATAGTCTATTGCAACATACTATTGTGATAGTGATAGTCTATTGCAACATACTATTGCGATAGTGATAGTCTATTGCAACATACTATTGTGATAGTGATAGTCTATTGCAACATACTATTGCGATAGTGATAGTCTATTGCAACATACTATTGCGTTAGCGATAGTCTATTGCAACATACTATTGTGATAGCGATAGTCTATTGCGACCCACTATTGCAATACTATTGCAATAAAAGAATTCTCCTTGAATTGTCCCATTTTAAGTCATTTCCCAAATGAATGTATAGTTTATATGAAATAAAAACAAGCTGAAGTAGTTTCAGTCTCTTTTAATAAAGTTTGTTTAAGAGGTAACAGATGTGGATAACTCTAAATCAAAGTGAACGATCTGGTAATTCCTGTACTTTGTGCTGCGAATTTATCAACTTAAGTCAATTACTAAACTATCGATAGTCACACATACTATCGATGCATCAATAGTTTTTCGTTTCTACCATCGATTAATTGCTATCGCAGACTCAACAATTGCAATCCATCGATAGTTCGATGCATCGTTATAGCCCTAATTGCATACACTTTTATGGAGCAGCATGTGCAACTGTTTTTGTCTGGTGCAACAAAGTTATTACCTAAGGTTGCATTGGGTGCAAATAGGTTTCATTTCCTGAAATCAATGCTTCATCATTGACTTTTTGTTTTCTTATTTGTCCAAAGGTTTGTTACAAAATCTGTAGTTGTTACAACTGTAGAATGTTTTGTCAGATATAGATGAAAGCATTACCATCTGTCTCTCGAAATTGGACCGCCTCCGTGGTGTAGTGGTTAGAGCGTCCGCCCGGAGAGCGGAAGGTTGCGGGTTCGATCCCCGACCGCATCATACCAAAAGACGTTAAAATATGGTACTTGTTGGTCCCTGCCTGGCGCTCGGCATTAATGGGTACAACAAGGACTGGTCGGCTCAGAGTCAGTATAATGTGTCTGAGTGGTGTATTCATGCTTCACTGCGGCATGGTATCTCAGTGGGCTAGCACTATAAAACCAGCTTAAGTCTGGGCTAGTACAAGCAGCCGCACATACACATACACACGCATGCACGTCATCAGAAGAGCGAAATATTCTCAAGCACGACGTTAAACCCAATTTCACCTCACCTCACCTCACCTCACCTCACCTCACCTCTCGAAATTGTTCTGATAAGGTTTCTCATCATCTATCCTTCAATACCACTGTGTTAGGGTGTACAATATCCATTGCTGTGATATAAGCCTTCGTCCTAAATTAAAAGTTATAATTGATAAATATGAAATAATGTCTTTTCTGATTGCAGATGATGCCAAGATGTTGATCTGGTAGGATGTTTGAACCGAGCAATCACAGCTCTCAAAGGGGCCGGCTTCCCCCCATCCATGCCATCGGCAAGGTCCAGTCCATTGACGAAGATGATCCACCATACGTACCAGTACAGGTGTATGGCTACGACGCAGATGGTGATCTGTCGCTCTCTTCTGGAGTTGAACCAACCTTTGAGGTCAGTGATGCAGAAGATGCTGTGAAGCTTCTACGGAAGACATTTCAGCTCATAAATCCTGGACGCCATGCTTGCAAGAGAAGTCCTGAACACGGAGGAACTTATTTTGTTCACTGCCGAACATCGTCCCGTCTTGGTAAGGATTATTCTCAACTGAGGAAGGTTTTGGAAAATAGGGCAAAGTTGGAATTTGTGCGTGACTGTGTGACCAGGATCCGTGCAACAACTGCTTACGTAGAAGATCTGGAGGGTTTGGTGCTTCATGAGTATAGAACAGCTTACGCTATTCGTCATGGGTGTGCTTATGATGCTCCGATCAGTAAACTGTACTGTCTGAATGCTCTATGTGAAGACCTGCGTGTACATGTCAACCATTGGAATGTACTTAAGCAACATCTTAACACAAATAAATGGCTACAGCCAATCCTGGGCCGTTTATGTCTTGAAGTGGAATATGTGAAGAGAGCTCTTATCCAGCTATGCGATAAAGCAATATGGCTGCTGCAGCGCCTCATCAACGTGGGATTTGAGGTGTTTGCTCACTGTGATGTTGACAAGTTGACTCCAGAGGTGATGTGGAATATTACTCGAGGTCTTGAGGATTTCAACAATATTGTTAATTCATTTAGGACAGCAGGCACGGTGAGTGGATCTCAGTGGAACCATCTTTCCCTGGTCAATCTTCCAGAATTCCAATCTATTTCTTGTCTTCACTTACACCCAGCTGCCACCAACTTCCCTGGCAAACTGGGTGACTCGGTCAAAGCGATTCCTTTTCCAAGAGTCCTCAGGATCCTTGCCAATGAGAGGTCCAGGTATGCTGCCAAACTGACTCATTACTTTTTCACAGTCAACGAAGATTTCCAAAAGTTTTTGAATTGTGGTCGACTACCCCTGTACAACTGGTTCGAGGATCATGGAAAGGACTCTGCGTCTGGCTCATCATCCAATCAGCAGGAGACATCTGACTATCACACAGCCACAGGAAGCAATGTCAGTTTGTCCACGTCACTGTTGCGTGTTGGGTCACTTCGGGCTCCAGACCTGTCTGTTTACATGTCGCCTCTTGTTGAATTCTCGCATAAGGAACAGGAATTTGCAGAAAATTTTCTGCTGATTGTATGTAATTCCACAACGCTACTCAGGAAAAACGATACGGGTAAATCCAAGAAACAAAAGGAATTGAGAATAAATCAGAGTCCTATGATTGGGCGGTCTGTTCGGAGAATGTCTGACACACCGGTGCTATCTCGTGCGGACTCTCGGCGGAAGACAGTGTCGTGGGGAGACAATGCTGACCAGTCCATAAGGAATCAGGTAGTAGCAAAGTACATGGAGATCTTGTGGCAACACTTCGGGGAGAATCTCGAGCTGTTTCTGCTGGAGCCCACCTGGGATATGAGCCAGAATCTTCTCCACTCTGAGTTTGGCAGTATCCTGCTGTACAACGACACCCTGATCACTCTCCTCAGACACACCATCGAACATGTCTGTATGAAAGGTAGGTTCAATTTTTATTCATTGATATTCCCTCAGGCACACACATGCATGGCCACATGCTCGAACAACTTGAGGCAATATTGACTCATGACCACAATCTGAGCTCACATTATGTGGCAATATTGATGCATGCATCCTGCTCTCTCATTCAAACAACATTTAACAATATTCACTCATACATACACACTTATACAATATAGGGCAGCATTTACTAACACACATACACACATATGCATAAGACCCGTGAAGGTCCGGGTTAGAATATTGGCCTTCAGTGACCCATGTTTGTCGTAAGAGGCGACTAACGTGATTGGGTGGTCAGGCTCACTGACTTGGTTGACACATCATGACATGTCATCGGTTCCCATTTGTGCATATTTATGCTCATGCTGTTGATCACTGGATTGTCTGGTCCAGACTCGATTATTTACAGACCGCCGCCATATAGCTGGAATGTTGCTGAGTGTGGCGTAAAACTCAACTCACTCACATATGCATAAGCACTGTGTAGCACTATTTGTTGAAACAGAGTTAAATGTTCACATACTCAAACAACATACAGCAGTATCCAGTAACATGCCGAAACAACATGTGGCAGGACCACTTAAATGCCTAAACTACTTCACTTGTGGCAGTATCACTCACATGCTTAAATGTGTGGCAGTATCCACTCACATGTTACAACAGCATGTATGACTCACATACTCAAACTATCACACATGCTCAAACTATCACTCACGTGCTCAAACTATCACTCTCATGCTCAAACCATCACTCACTTGCTCAAACTACATGTGGCAGTATCCCTCACATGCTCAAACAACATGCAGCAGTATCACTCTCATGCTCAAAAAACATGTGGCCATATCACTCACATGCTCAAACAACATGCTGCAGTATCACTCTCATGCTCAAACACATTGTGGCAGTCTCCACTCACGTGCTCAAACAACATCTGGCCGTATCACTCACATGCTCAAACAACATGTGGCCATATCACTCACATGCTCAAACAACATGCAGCAGTATCAGTTTCATGCTCAAAAAACATGTGGCCGTATCACTAACATGCTCAAACAACATGCAGTATCACTCTCATGCTCAAACAACTTGCAGCAGTATCAGTTTCATGCTCAAACACATTGTGGCCATATCACTAACATGCTCAAACAACATGCATCATCATCACTCACATGCTCAAAAAACATGCAGCAGTATCACTCTCATGCTCAAACTATCACTCGCATGCTCAAACTACATGCTGCAGTATCACTCTCATGCTCAAACACATTGTGGCAGTCTCCACTCACGTGCTCAAACAACATCTGGCCGTGTCACTCACATGCTCAAACAACATGTGGCCATATCACTCACATGCTCAAACAACATGCAGCAGTATCACTCTCATGCTCAAACAACATGCATGCAGTATCAGTTTCATGCTCAAACATGTCAGTATCACTAACATGCTCAAACAACATGCAGTATCACTCTCATCACTAACATGCTCAAACAACATGCAGCAGTATCACTCTCATGCTCAAAAAACATGTGGCCGTATCACTAACATGCTCAAACAACATGCAGTATCACTCTCATGCTCAAACACATTGTGGCCATATCACTAACATGCTCAAACAACATGCGTATCAACATGCTCAAACAACATGTGGCAGTATCACTCTCATGCTCAAACAACATGCAGCAGTATCACTCTCATGCTCAAACGACATGCAGCAGTATCACTCATGCTCAAACAACATGCAGCAGTATCACTCACATGCTCAAACGACATGCAGCAGTATCACTCTCATGCTCAATCAAATGGCCGTATCACTCACATGCTCAAACAACATGCAGCAGTATCACTCTCATGCTCAAACAACATGCAGCAGTATCCTCTCATGCTCAAACAACATGGCAGTATCAACATGCAGCAGTATCACTTTCATGCTCAAAATCATGTGGCCGTATCACTCACATGCTCAAACAACATGCAGCAGTATCACTCTCATGCTCAAAAAACATCTGGCTGTATCACTCACATGCTCAAACAACATCTGGCAGTATCACTCATATGCTCAAATAACATGTAGCAGTATCACTCACATGCTCAAACGACATGTAGCAGTATCACTGTCATGCTCAAAAAACATCTGGCTGTATCACTCACATGCTCAAACAACATGTGGCAGTATCACTCACATGCTCAAACAACATGTAGCAGTATCACTCACATGCTCAAACAACATGCAGCAGTATCACTCACATGCTCAAACGACATGCAGCAGTATCACTCACATGCTCAAACGACATGCAGCAGTATCACTCACATGCTCAAACAACATGCAGCAGTATCACTCTCATGCTCAAAAAACATCTGGCTGTATCACTCACATGCTCAAACAACATGTGGCAGTATCACTCTCATGCTCAAAAAACATCTGGCAGTATCACTGTCATGCTCAAATAACATGTGGCAGTATCACTCTCATGCTCAAAAAACATCTGGCTGTATCATACATATGCTCAAACAACATGTGGCAGTATCACTCACATGCTCAAACGACATGTGACAGTATCGCTCACATGCTCAAATAGCATGTGGCAGTGTTTGAGCATGTGTATGGATACTCCCACATGCTGATCCTGACTTATCCAAACCATGTGTTTTCAGGATGGCTTTATCACTGCTAATAGGTGAGAAATTCCCAAGAATCTAATAAAGAACATATTTTTATCTCCCAATTAACTCAGAGGTGATTGTGAAAAGACAGGTGATTTCTACATAGTGTGTAAATTACATTTTCAGTTTCCCTTGCTATAAAAAGAAACAAGCTTGTAGCCATTTTGTTCTATTTGAATGAAACTTGTGCCAAATATAAATCATTAACTTGCAAACTACGAGTAATTAAATCAGCTCAGTTTTAATCCTGTTACACGTTTCAGTTTTATCGACAAACGAAACATTAATGTTTCATAACTTAGTTGCTTTAACTGAATATGAACAGCATTGTTCACCTTGATTTTGCACCTTATTACGAATAGTTAATTAATTCAACAACTGCAGGCAGTCTAGGTAATGCTGAAACATTCTGAATCCATATCCACTGATGTAAGCTGATCTTCTCAGACAATATGAAGTTTTGCTAGACCTTTGGAGTAGCAGCTAATGTTGCACAATGTGTAGACATACTTATAAGGAATATAAGTGTTTAGACATAAAGGTTAGTTATAAAATGTCATTTGCATATTGGAAACTCAAGACTGATCGATTCTGATTCCTGACATCAGATGAGGGGGTGGGCCCCCGATATTTCTCTGTTAAAAAGAGCTGTCTGATAAGTATCTTAGTTGATGGGTTGATCCTCGAGTTATGAAATGCTCACTTTGCCTGTACTGCATTTTATCACTCAGGCCATCTTTATAATCGCTTGAATATTTTACTTGATGACAGTGGCATAACAACCCACAGTAATTAGGGCATGTTTGTGCCATTGTCAGAAATTCTCATTGATGAAAAGCTCATATATAAGGGTGTTAATGGGGTAGCCTGTTGGTTAAATTCTTTGCTGGTCCCACTAAAGTATGAGTGAGTGAGTGTGTGAGAGTTGGCTTTTAACAATATTCCAGCAATATCACAGCAGGGAAACCAGAAATGGGCTTCGCACATTGTACCCATGTGGTGAATCGAACCCAAGCCCCTGGCAAGACGAGTGAATGCTTTAACCACTGGGCTACCCCATCATCCCGAAAACGAGTATGACACCAGGTGTTTGCAAAAAGAGTACACATGCCTTGCCCTACATGTAGAACCAGTCACGCACATGGTTTGCTAGCCTTGCTCCAAGGACTCCAGACTGTTATTTATATTTATTTAGAAATTTTCATTTAAACTGTTAATTATTACCTTAGAGACTTGTGCAAGTCTAATTGTTTGCATGAAAAAGAGCCTGTTGCCTGACACCACTGCGCAGTCCTTCTGCAGTACAACATGGAATACACCAATATGCTTGTAATAGACACCATGCAAGCTGATGTGAATATCAGTTCAGTACATGCGTATGTAGAAAGTCAAGTGTGTTGATCACCCCTGCGGAGTGTATTGATGGATGGTGTGACCAGCCGACATTAGATTTGGTAGGGTGATCAAGGGAAATAGCTGTAATCCTCTCTATCAATAGGTGAGACTATCACACGGTTTAATCAGGTATACACTCAGCCGCTGTGATCCTCTGTTGACAAATGTGTGACAAGTGACGACAGTTTGTAGTGTCCGCTCGTCATACGTGCTGGGGAGCATCAATCATTCGGCAACATCGGAATGCAAAAACCTTGTTGAAAATGTCTACAATGCATCACAAGTGTGGCGTGTGAATTGTGTATAAATGTGTAGATGAGCTCTTATAAATAATATCTCAATGTCTTATCAGGAAGGAGGGTTAGGTTGATCAAAAACTATTTATAGCCTGGATGAAACAAAACTGAATCCTGGCCATCTTCTGTAAGTAAAGTACAGATTCTAGTACTTTTTTATCCCACCGGCATGTAACTGTCAGATGATTTGTTCTTTCAAAGATGTGGGGGCCGTGGGGATATGTCATCTTCTGATGACTCTTGTTTGGGTTGAGTGCCATCCGGGATTCATACCCACACCCTCAGAGTCAGGCACCTAATCGACAGCACACAAAGTCAGCTGTCTAACCCACTCAGCCACCACAGCTTTCCCAAAAATGGAAGTCAGACAACTGGTAGTCTAGACTACTATTTTTTGTACCCCTCTGATAAGTGTAAATAGGCATGGCTCCCACGTTCTAAAGCTATGAACACACAATGCCATTTAGAAAGTGGTCAAATGTAACATGTGTTATATTTGAGATTACACTTTCTCTGTACTGACCATCTTCATAGAACTGGATACTCCCAGCAGTGAATGGGTACCTGGTAGGATGTGATGGTGTGACTGTTAACATTTCAGCACCTCACAAGCAGCCTTGGTTG